CTCGATAGGTTCAACACTATTAGGCTTGGCTAGGCCCAATTAAGAAAAAAAGGATCATGTTTGATGGGCTTGAAAAATGGCTCACTTAGGAACCCCACTCAGCCCGACCAGTCCCACACATACCGTTTGTTTTACATATATATCATCGATGCTTTCTATAGCTTAGGGCCAATATTGGGCCTGACTTGACAATTTCGCGATGAAATTTCCCCGACCCCCAAATCGACCTTGTCTAAACTGCTCGTCAAATGATCACCTCTAGTTCGACTCACCTAAACAATGTAGAACAAAATAAGAAAGTCCAAAATGTTTAGACATTATGCGATCGACAAATTGACCAACAACAGACTGAGAGGATAAAGATCTGAAGCACAATATATCGGCATGGCAATTGAAGTCCGGCGGTACATAGTTTCTGGCGATACCAAGATCAACCATATGATTGCAATCTACAACAAAATCCAATTTCATCATTCCACATTTTCACAAAAGCACAATCAGGTTAAAGTAATTCACCAGATTCCACCTGTTACTCATCATCTCTCCTGAGAGAGAGAGAGAGAGAGAGAGAGAGAGAGAGAGAGAGAGAGAGAGAGAGAGAGAGAGAGAGAGAGAGAGCTTTTTGAATAATTTTGTGGCCGAACTTTCAAGGAAGGAAAATGGGGTCCATGGGAGAATTTATGGTGGGGGCGAGAAAGATCACCTCATACAAAGGAAGCAAGAGAAAAAGGTTAAAGGGTCCATATGAAGATTCATGGTGGGGTACAACTCAGGGGAGGGTTTAAATCATTATTAATCATGGTGATGTAGCACGGCATTATTAAATCAGATGCAGCAAGAAGCAGGGATCGTGAGGACCACATTTAAATTCGATTTTCATTTAAAACTAATGCCTATTGGACAAGGTCGCAAAGCAGTGACATTACATCCATGACTCAATCAGTTAACCAACCACGCTTTAAAATGCCAAAGCCACTCCGTTGCTTTTCTCACTAATCAGCAATTAAACAATTAAAACTTCCTTCCCCTCTCTCGATGTATTGTGCTGTGGTAGGCCCCGTTCGTGGCCACTCCATTTGCTCCTCCTTAAAGTTAAGTTGTAATGATAATCATGGAATCCCCTCTTTAAAAGGGGTCTCTTTATTAAATGATAATTGCATTACTTTCAAAGCTGGCTTGCGATTTATACAAGCAAAAGTCACTTCTTGGATCTTCGCTATCATTGTGTGGTGGATGATTCGCATCAATCAACAGACCCCCTCGCTTTCACATCTCTCTCTCTCTCTCCCTCTCTATCTCTCCCTCCATCCTTATTTGGAAGAGACATCTACGTATATGCACGTTTGATATGGCTCGAGGATGAGGGTTTCTGAGAAATACCTCGTGTTCGATGTCTTGACAAATTCTTGATTTGCGCGATTGAATAGGGTTGTGGTCATCTTCTTTGCTTTGGCACGCATGCGTGCATATCATAAAGAAAGATTTTTGGTGGATTTTCCCATATGCTGATAGTATGCATAGGCTTCGTGAATGTGGTTTTTGTGTGTACGTGTCTTAGGCTTTGAAAAAGCAACAATCGAAAGGATGGTTTTCCAAAAAATGTGCCAACCTTTGAGTAAGATCTGGATTATGGTTCTCTTCATCTTCGCCGAATCCACTTTATTAATAAAGAGGAGTGCTTCGGTGCTTCTCAAATGTCTTGTATATCGGCATGTCAATCGACATGAACTTTCTCTCCTTTTCTTTTCTCCTTTTACAAAAATTGAAGGTTCTGTTTCATATCCCCAAGGCCTTGTTGATGGCGGGACTATTACGTGAGACAATGACGCAGTGCTCTAAGAGTATCTAAGAGATGCCACACGTGTGAAAATGATAAGAGTTCTTCTCATAATCGAGAGGAAAATCAGTATAAACATGCGAAACTTAGTTGCAGATGGGGAATCATAGAAATAAAAATATTCGACGATTGGCATCTTTGATCTCAAGAAACATGAGATTTCAAGGTCGAATTAACTGGGCAAAACCCTTGCGAATCAAGTTATGACAAAATAATTCTTTGAAATTTTTCTGTTCCAGTAGCGATTACGTTTCTTTGACCGACCAAGGAGGTCGATTTGATCTGATACAGCAAAACTAATCTAGGACAATCACTTCACCCTTCTAAAATAAGAGGAGAACCACCAAGAAAAGAAGGGGGTAAAGTATGATGGAAGGAGACATTATTGTGTATAGCAGCTGTTTCTAAGCTGATAGACGACACCCATGACAAGAATTAAAAAGCTTTGAAAACTTGAAGATCTGAAAATTTACATAGCGAAAGCTACAAATATTGCGACCCAAGTATGTATATTTTTCTAATAAGCATTAAAGTCCAATTATGACTAGTCCACTTTGCACGAAATAATACCCACTTTCGTGTTACACTCGTGTTGATTATTCGTATCATTTCATTTCATTCCATTTCGAAGATGTTTCAATATGACTACAAAGTATTTTTTTCATACAAAGATCAATGAAAACAGGTCAATTTTTGTTAAGTTCGAGCTAGATTGTGTCTTGTTGTGTCGAGTTCAGGTCTCTCTTAATAAAGTGGCATAGTGTTCTCACGTCAATTTCATATCTCCTCTTTGAGGTGGTCGTCACAAATTCTTGCCGTCTAAGCAGCTATTTAGACGAGGTAAAATTGTACAAGATGTTAGTTATATGAAAAATCTGGAGTATAATAGAATATCAGAGAATAAACATGCTTCTTAATGAATAGAATTATGTTATGTACAACATTATATAAAACAAAATTGATGCTTGGATTAGTCAATCTTAATACCTCTAGTAGCTATTTATGTAACAAGTGTAATGTCTTATAGAGATAATTCTACCTATCAATATAGTAATTACAATTACTAAAATTGAAATAAAAAAGGACAATCTTGAATTTGAATATTTCATTAGACAAGCGTTCCCCATAGATTAATGCAAATAGGCTAAAACTCATAATTCATAGAAATTGGTTCTCAAGATGCCGTGAATTTAGCTGCTAAATCATCCACCCAATTGAAAACTTTATCTTCATCTAAAATCAAGAAAGTTGAAGAAATTATAAAAAATGATCATATTCGATGGGGGTCGTATCAAGATATGACGTAATCAGCCAACCAATAGGATCAAGTGACGTCAAACCATGCTACGTACGTAGGGGGAGAATCGGTGGAGGTGTTTGTCGTCTCCTACCACCAAATGCGTTATATCTTTTGAATCAAGCAATTAAGAGGACGTAATAAGTCAAAACTAATTGAAAGCAATAATAGACTATTCTTTTTTTTTTATTCTAATCTACAGCTCTTTTTGAATTTTGGGGGCTTGGATTATTGCCTAAAGTCATCTATTTTTCCTTCCTATTTTTATTTTTGTTCTTTCTCTTCATTGTTATACGAGGCTAATTGGAATGTTGGCCACGAGGAAGAGGGTCATGGAATTCGAAGATGACTTCTTTACGAGATCGTCGGATGGAGTATTGCACAAGCAATTGAGAGAACGAATCATGCATAGCTTATAAACTTGCTTGGATGCAATTATTCTTTCTCGGGAAATACCCTTTTAATCGCCGGCGTGTGCTTTGTTAGGTAGATTGAAGCGGTTTCGTCTTTAGGGCGAGAGGAATTAATTTCTTCTTTATTTTATACTCTTGACGTGGATGACCTGTTTTTGATTGGATCTGAAGCTAAAATTCCGTTTGGGGTTGTATGCCTTTTGTGCGGAAAAGTTGCCATTGTATTCAAGTGTACTATGACTATGGATCTAATATTTAGTTGACAAGTAACGGTATTCCAATCCACGTTGATGATTGATAAATTGAATGTAGTTTAGGAGTGTATTTGACGTTTTCAAGTGTTGAAGTTATATCTTAGTTTTGTTTTGTGGTATTTAAAGATAACCAAAATTAATCAAGACATTTACTTCTAAAATACAGAGTAAGAAAAGTAATAATCATAGCAGTTGTCGCCTGTTATTCTACGTCTCAAAGTTGTCGAACGCTACAACTTCTAAACTGTAGGACTCGGTTTCCCAAAGGATTTCCAAACACACCCATCGAGTCGAGGAAGTTGGCTCATGTTATTTAGAAATACCAAAGAAATTGGAACCAATCAATGTTGCTTGGCACCAGGAAAAACCATCCAATCCTGCTAAACTCTTGAAGATCATATCATAAACATTATCATAAGTTGATATTGAGATCTTGTTGTTGCAACTGCCTTACAAATACAGTAGGCGATAGTTGAATTTGGCGATATTCTCACTCAACAAGACCGCGGTTTTTTCTACTTTGATGAGGGCATCTCTCGATTCCTTCGCGGACAGGTAAGGTCCCTTCTGATAAGTAGCGGAGGGCTACATTTGATCATCTAAACGGAATATGGTAGGATAAGACAAGAAATTCTGTATTATATATCTAGGTTCTTATTTCGAGAATGACCTAACATAAGCACGGATTATCCTAGCGTCATTTGGTGTGTTTGAAAGAACAGAAAAAACAAGAAACAAACTTGAATAGAAAACCCTAGAGAGAGAGAGAGAGAGAGAGAGAGAGAGAGAGAGAGAGAGAGAGAGAGAGAGAGAGAGAGAGAGAGAGAGAGAGAGGTAGGTTCGTGGAACAACGTGTAATGGCATGAGAGGAATGACGTACGTGGAGAGTTTGGTAACAACGATACAAGTCTACGTAGAAAAAAGTGACCACACACGGACACATGATCAGGAGGTGAATGTAAAGAGTTTGATGGCAGGTCGCTTTAGGGTTAGATGGAAACATGGGACCCGCTCCCGAGCATTTCATCCGGTGCAAATGTCGGCTCTCACTTCCTTCTTGTACTTGTGTCTTGTCTCTGTGCCTCTCCCTCCCCTCTTGTCGTTCTTTAAAACCCTACACACAGGAGAGAGAACAGAGAGTGAGTTCAGTTCAGTTCATTTATATATAACCCCTTCATTTAATTCTGTGCAAACAAAATCTCACCACACCTTCAATACGAGAAGAGTGTGTGTGTGTAAAGCTTTAGCAAACTTAAAGTTAGCCAAAATATTTAACATGGGTCACCACTCGTGCTGCAACCAGCAGAAGGTGAAGAGAGGGCTCTGGTCTCCTGAGGAAGATGAGAAGCTCATCAGATACATCACCACTCATGGCTATGGCTGTTGGAGCGAAGTTCCTGAGAAAGCAGGTCAGTGTTCGCTTCTCTCTCTCTCTCATGAATTTTGTCTTTTTTTAATGTGCGCTTTATCATCCAAGATTCATGGGTGTCGTTCATCTTGTTTTAGGGCTTCAAAGATGTGGGAAAAGCTGTAGGTTGAGGTGGATAAATTATTTGAGGCCCGACATCAGGAGAGGCAGGTTCACTCCTGAAGAGGAGAAGTTGATCATCAGCCTCCATGGGGTCGTAGGCAACAGGTTCATCAATTTCCATCATCATCATCGTCATCGTCATCATCTCTAAAATTCCTGTTCGGTTGTTTCCAAATAAAATATCAAATCAATGGAGGACAACGCCAAAAAGAAGATAAAAAACCCTAACATCGTCCCCGCCAAATTTGCATCTCGAAATTCAAGCATATGCGATTTTTTTGGGGAACTTTTCATGAATCTGGCGTCTTGTGTCATGGCTTCATTGTACGAAAGTCAGAAACGGACAATTCTTTCCCTCATCACACAATACAGTGGAGTCCTTGGAAACTTCCAAGGAAATTGACTTGCCACTAAACTTTTTTAATACAAGCTTTTGATTTAAGTTTCTGTATTATATGCTGATTAAATACCTAGAAGCAAGCTCAGAGTCAAATCTGTTCCTAATAGCCCAATCACCTGCATTGTACGGGAGGCGTTAGAAGGACATATTCATAGGTTGAGGCATAAGTATCAGTCGCATTTCGGCCCCATTAATTAAATTTTCTTCTCTCCTTGCAATTCTCATCTACATATACAACACCATTCAAATAATGAAAGAATTACAAGAAGATTAGACTTAGGTTGATTAGATAAACAAACAAAAAAACACTTTATTATGATAGTTTGTGTTTTTCTCTCGCTCCATGTGTTTGATTGCGAAATGTTATTGATGCAGATGGGCTCATATTGCGAGCCACTTGCCGGGAAGAACAGACAACGAGATAAAAAACTACTGGAATTCATGGATCAAAAAGAAAATTCGAAAGCCTTCGCCGGCTTCTCTGACAAATGTTCCTCCCAGTACGTCTTCCGAGCACTCCCTCTTGAACAATTGCTCTAATCAACTCAGCTGCGCAATGCCGGATTTAATGGCAGCGAAGATGCCTGTACAGGAAACCCTATTTTCTTCCCCTTGCCCTTTATTTATGTTCGATACCGCCTCGCTCGAAGGGCTAGCGGAGAATAACGAACAACAAGAGCTTTTCACTGAAGCGGTCACGGTGAATTCCGCCGGCACCTGGAACTTGAATCACCAGCAATTCCACACCACACTTCCGCTGCCTCCCCCGACTTATACAAGCGGAAGCGGGGATGCTAATTATTTGCCGCCATTGATAGAAAACGTAGAGAACATGTTGAATATCGGGATGCAATCTAGTAACATCGACGAGGAAGGAGATCGGATAGCCCTAGAATGCTTTCAGAGGCAGGAGTTGAACGAATGGGTCGAATCCCACCAGTGCCCAAATTTTCTCTTGTGGGATAATGTGGAAGGGCCTTTCGGCGGGGAAGACATCGTGCCGGCTTCATCGACCGCGGGAGCTTCTACCATGTCTTCCTTCCCTTCATCTCTCTAATCTCTCTCCCTCCCTCTCTCCCTCTCTCTTTCTCTCTCTCTGACGAAGAGTTCCTAAAAATGATGCTTGAGGCTTGAATTGAGTTTGGCTTTTGACTGTTTGTTATTCATTTTCTTCATTTCTTTCATGTCTGTTCAAACTGATGACAAATGTTTGTGAACTTGTGAATGATGAGGAGGGCATGCCACAAATGCATGCAATGTTTTGGACAATGAGAAATAATAAAAGCAACGCAACAGCGGCGGTTTGACCATGATTTTGGTGAACGGTGGACTCCTTCTCATTCTTTGGTTTTGAGTGGTACTGAATACTAGCTTTGTTTTGCACTCGTTCATTATGTCGATAGTATCAAACCTTTCGGCACGATTAATCTCCGTTGATACATGCAACATATCAACATTTATCAATAGCTCCTTACTTTTTGTTAAAAAGTCTAATCCAAAAACTTAAACTGATAAGTAGAGGAAGACAACATTTATAAAAGACTTGTTGAAACTCCATAAACATGCGATGTGTGATATTTTGATACTTTTTATTAAATTGTGTAAATTTTCCTGAGATTCCCATGCACGCAGTACTATTTGGAATAGATTATACTTTCCTATTATGTACAAATGATTGACTTATAAGCTGTAATTTTTTGTGTTGGGTAGTTTTCAACAGGGTTAAACTACATTTAACATGCTGAGGTCATCAATCATCACCTTACGGCAACTTGTCAATTGTGTATAGCTATTACAGTTTTCAAAAGATGAAACAACAAGCTACTTCAGTTAGGTGATTGTGTGTTACAAGAAGCTATAAAATCTGTCTCGACTTTACGTGTCGTAACGATATATATCCGATGCATCAAATGTTTCTTGTCAACCGGAAATTATGTATATCTTTAGTATCGAAATCCTCAGTTATGCACTCTACAATCAATCATATTCATGCCGCAATAAATTTCATGTGAATCACACTCATGTGGATGGGCAATCTCAATCCTTCCTCAGTACCTCGATTTTGGCGGGCGCCTCGTGCAACCCACGCGATCCAAGGGTAGCAAGCGTTTTGTGCTCTCCACCCAAGCACCCCTAATCACCGCGGCCGTTTAAGTTTCGAACTCTTTACGTACTCGGAACCGAACCGTTAATCGTTCCGAACTATAATGAGCGAAAACTCTTAAGTACAGAGTTTAAAAACTTAAAAACGTTCACATGTCATGGTTTCTCCACAATAAACTGTTGTTCCATGATTTTGAAGAGTGGTTGTTTGCCCTTAAAGTAAGCATTTCCAACGTGAGTCGGTTCCCACGTTTCTTGGCCTCTAGCAAAGTATATACGAAATGAAAATCTTCTGATAGCGACTCGGTGTGACTCGTACCGCAACTCCTTGTCAAGGCAGGGGGATGCAACTAGTTCCACATTGTATGCTTGAAAGATAAGATAAGAACGGGGAAGCACTCTTTTGAAGTATCCGGACACTTCTTCTCCACGAAATATTCTCTGCAAAGCATGCATTATTATTTGGCAAAACATGTCCTTTTTCGTCCATCCTTTCTAGATGTCTGGCTCGCGTTTCAATCGTGCACAGATTTTCAAATAATATTGGAGTTGTGTATGTGAAGTAATGCGTATGTACTTGATGTGATCCCAGATGCGACGTACGTCCCAAATATGAAAATTGGGATTGAGCGAGAGACTCGGTTGCTATCTTTGCTTCTGTGTTACAACTTGGCAAATCCCCCCTTATCGTGCCATGTTGGCGAGGGTTAAGATTTTCATATATTTGTAAGTAATGTGAATTTGATATCTTATTACAAGTGACCTTATCGACGAGGATATATTCAATAGTTGCAAAAAGGCACGACGCGGTACGCGTTTTTTACTCAAATCCAATGATACATCGAAACGTATCAGTTGAAGTGAAATAAAAAAATAAAAAAAAATTGAATTTTCTTTTCTTCCTCCTTCCTTGGCCAATCTGGTTGTCCTCCATGGCCGCCAGCGATTCCTCCTCCATCATAGAGCACCATCCTATCCGGCCAGCATCTCTATCCCTTCTAGCGTCATTTGCAATATGTTAGAAAATCCAACCCAAAAACTTAAGCTATTAAGTGGAGGGAGATTACATGAATATAAAGAGCATTTAGGACCCGTTGTCAATCGATGTGGAATGATACTTTAACACACCCACACACGTGCAAACCGGATTACGAGCAACACATGAAATTTTGACATCGCATATTCACATGAAATTTTTACCACGTACATTCGCAAAAGGAATAGCACTGGCTCTGATACAATGTTAGAAAGTCTAACCCAAAAGCTTAAGCTATTAGGTGGAAGAAGACCACATGAATATAAATAACATTTAGGACCCGTCGTCAATTGATGTGAGATAATACTTCAACACAGTCGACCCAACCTACCCCTTCGTCATCGCTTGCGGTCAACTTGTTGCTTGTCCAAATCTAGCCTCGACCATGGCCGCAAGCTTTGCTCGTCCATCCACCGACTGCAACAACAACGGCATTGCAATCTGCCATGACTGGAGTTTGCCCATCCACCAACGGCAACGACTACGAGTGACAAAGGCCAGTCGCCATGATTGTAGATCCGCTGACAACTGTGAGTAACGAGGTCCAGATCTAGTCTCCACGATAACCATTGCAAGCAACAAAGTCCATATCTGGTCACCATAACTCTAGTCTTAAGTACCGCGAGTAACGTAGTCCGACACTGCTATGTCCAAGTCGAGCACCCTCAGTCGTCTTTACTCGTCCATGGCTGGTGCTTCTCGATCTGGAGCCATGGCCGCAAGTGACAACGGTCCGTTTGGCGCTGATGGCCATGGACAACCCGACTTGAAGAGTCGGCCAAAAATGTGTTTGAATGCAACGGCGAGGGCCATAGAGGAGTAGAGAATAACAATGTTAACCCAAAAAAGACGGGTTGAATGGGGAAGGGGTGGAGATACTGGTGGTTAGGAAATAGAGAGTGACAGTGTCGGCTCGGAAGGGTAGCTTGGTAGACTGCAGGTGAAGCCGGAAGGGGTAGAGATGCTGGTCAAACGAGGTGGTGCTCTATGATGGAGGAGGCAGCGCCGGCGGCCATGGAGGGCAACTGGATCGGCAAAGAAAGGAGGGAGTAGAGAAAATTCGGTTTTTTATTATTTTTATTCTACCTCAGTTGACACTTGTCAATTTATTATTGGGTATGAGTAAAAACTGCACGCCACGTCAATCACTCACGTGGCGTTTTGCAACTACCGAATATTTTCTCATTTATTGACAACTAAGGTGATTCCTTTTTAATTTATTTTTATTGACCAATAATTTTTTTTGCAATTAAATATCCCTTTTAAATTTACTTAATGTGTAACCAATGATTTTTCTATTTCGACCCTTTTTCCTTTTTACTTGGTTGAGGGTTTTTTATATAAAATATCCCTTTAGTTCTATTAACATATCCATCAATTTTCAACAGTACTTTTTAATGTTATTATGATATCTATTTTTTTTAGTCATGTCAATATCTTAGAAAATTTAATTTTCCCTAATTTCTCTATATTCTTTGTTTTTCATTTTAAAAAAAATATTAAGAGCAAAAATTTTTCCCTTCAAAATAAGCGGATGAATTTAACCAAAAAAAATAAGCAGATAACAATACGCTTTTACCCCTCAAAAGTCATTTACATTGCACATGTTAATATAATGGCGGGTTTAATGGCTAAAACATAATGAAAATAAGTTTACGAAATTGGGTTTTTCTTTTCGGCCCATAGAAAAAGCTTTCTGTCAAATTGGGTTTTTCTTTTTTTTTTTTGGTCAGAATCAAACTGGGTTATAAACCTATTTTTTAACTCATATTTGATGAATTAAATTGTTATATGACTTAATTATATTAAGTAAGTAAGTCATAAATGGATTTATAATGATAAATCTCTAAATAATATGGGTGTTAAATGGGTTCAATATTTACTTAGATTCAACCCACTTCTATAATTCTCTCCCGTCCTAATTCGATCTCATGCCCGTTCACTTCGTGCTCTCGTATTGATTTGTGTATGAATTTTCTTAGATTTGATTAAATATATATGTATATTAGCAATATGGATTGCATTAGGTATAGGTTCGAGATTTATATTATATTGAAATGGATCGAAACGGGTTAAATGTGGATAGAACTTTTTTCAACCCATCCTAAGGCTGACCTGCCCGATTGACAGGTCACAGGAGCCCGGACGATACCGATACTACCCCACACCCTAAAACCCCACCGGACCACTATGACAATCAATCTCCTTCCTTGATCATTAATCTAGGGTTTTCCTTGCAACAGTCGCACTTATCTCTGCCGAACTGCTCTTGCTCTCCGTTCGTTGCCGCCGTCGCTTCCTCCGTAGCCCCGGGCTCTGCTCATCGCCAACATGGTACTCTCTCTAACCTTATTTCCGTGCATATCCATGCGGAAGAATTCCTGGGTTTGTTGAATTGAAGCCTGTTTCTTGATTTGGGAGCTGCACGGATTCATAGCACAATAGATTGCTCGTGCCCCACCCCTGTTTTCTTGGCTTCTTAGGATGATTTGGGAAATCTCACGTTTTGTTTTCTTGTCGTTATTTCGTGAATTTCTGTTCAGATCATTCCTGAGAAGAACCGCCGTGAGATCTCCAAGTACCTCTTCCAAGGTACGATAATGTCTGGTGTCTGCCAAGCATCGTACGCCGCCGTCATTCGCTTGTGACGTGTAGATCTTGCTCCCCGTTTGAAATTTGCCATTTTAGCTGAATCTGGGGCGAATGTAGTCATGTGATCTATAGCGGCTGGCCTTCTAATTAGCATTATATGGATGGCGGTGTGTTGACTTTTACCAAGTTGCTTGATGTAGCCTTGGGTCTCATACTTGTACATTTGTGTGGATAATATGTATGTGGCAATTAGATTGGTGGGTTTTGTCTAGGGCGCTTGATTGTTCGTGCGATATTGAAATTGGGTTTCTGATTTGTCCTTTTGCAAGTGGATTTTTACATCTTGATGCGGCTCCCTTTTTTTTTTTCCATTTCAGAGGGGGTTTGCTTTGCGAAGAAGGACTTCAATCTCGCAAAGCACCCTGAAATAGATGTCCCGAATCTGCAGGTGATAAAGCTCATGCAGAGCTTCAAATCGAAAGAGTATGTGAGAGAGACGTTCTCTTGGATGCATTATTATTGGTTTCTCACCAATGACGGCATCGAGTTTCTGAGAACCTACCTCAACCTCCCCTCTGAAATTGTCCCCGCCACCCTGAAGAAACAAGCTAAGCCACTTGGTCGGCCCATGGGTGGTCCACCTGGTGATCGTCCCCGGTATGTATACTACACAGTAAGGTCGTTAATATAATCCTTCCATAGTTTTGTCACTGAAGAGTTGATGGTGGACACTTAGAAAATATAGTATTAGAACTGAATGTATTCGAGGGAAAGTTGGTGTGGTTTTCATTGAGGACAAGGCAGCTTCATAAGGAGGTTTGGACACATGATTTGCCTACCTTTAGATGTTCAGCTATGAAGATATGATGTTATGAGGGAAATATAGGGTTGAAGGATCTATTTTGCTGCCCAGTTAATTGAAGAAGGTTTAGTGATCGTTATTGTTGTTGAGAAGTCGTATGCATAGTCCTGCTTTTTATTATCAGATCACTGCGTCTGTGCTTTCTCTAGAATCCTTGACCAATCAGACTTCTGTAAAGAGTGAACTGTGAACTCTGCTCCATAAGTTTCACATAATGAGATTTGCTTACTCCTCTGCTTCATTTCTTGCTGATTGATAACAGTGGCCCACCAAGATTTGAGGGAGAACGACGATTTGGTGACCGTGAAGGTTATCGTGGAGGTCCTAGAGGACCTGCTGGAGAGTTCGGTGACAAGAGTGGAGCACCTGCCGACTATCGCCCTTCATTTGGGGTGAGATATTGCTTTTTCAGATTTCACATATTATTATTACACGAACAATGGTGCTCCTTGCGGATTTTGGTTATTTATCAGAAGAGTTTGGCTAGGGACTCTTAACGATGTACATCTGCTGAATGCTTTTTGTGATGATAAGACTTTTAGCCCATTGAGATTGTCTAATGATATTTTGTGTCCCCTTGTGTTATTACGTTGAGAGTCCATGCAAAAGAGGTCATCTTTGGACTGAACTCCCTTGCCAGACTTTATTTGTCCATGTAAAGTAATTAGGTTTGATGGGCTATATATTTAATTAATATTTCTCTATGAATTATATTTGAAGTAAGGAACAACAAGACATGCACACTTTATGCTAGATCTTGTTGTTGTGGCACGCTATTACGGACAGGACTGGTGACTTTTCCCTGTTTGTTCTGCTTTCATCATTTTGATATTGAGATGGGAACTCATGAACGACTGTTTTTATTTCTCCAAGTACTAGCTTTTTTATAAGTTAGGAATTTTTCTTCCATGTTGGCCGTCCACAGAGAAACTTATGTTCGTTTTTAAATTGCAGGGACCTGGTGGAAGACCAGGCTTTGGTCGCGGAGGTGGTGGATATGGTGCTGCATCGGCTAGCTCAGACCTTGCTTGAATGGTTGACAAGCTTCACTGCCATTAATTTTGTAGGATGGTAATAGGAAGGGAACTGAGTCAATGCGGTTGCGTTTCCTTATAGTTTCAATTAAGGTGTCTTTCAAGAGATTTTATACTTCTGTCTTTTTCGGCTACTATACTGGCTCAGCCAAGCTTTTGTCTTTATAATCGTTGTTAAGGTCTTGTTTGTGACAAAGAAGTGAATAATGTATCCTGTTTGGCTTAGAAGTACAAAATTCATCATGCTGCGTAATTTTCTGTTAGGTTACCCTCTCTCTGGCTTTTTACTGTCCTGTGATATGATCCATGTTTAAGTTTTTGACCTCTCACTTATAACCGCGGTTTTGAACCTAAATTACTGATGAGTTTTTAGCTGTTATGCCTACATTTATGGATGATAGTTTGTGTCATCCAGTGTCATTGTTAAATTGGACATTCAATCATCGATTTCATGTTTTGTCAGACAAACACAAGCACACAGCGCACCCAAGAGATTGGGCTTGGACTTGTAGTTTCTGTAATTTGATTTAGCATTGCGAAATGCAGGAGCTTTGATCCTCTAGCGAGCTTATGAACATTTTCAGTAATCAGTTCATATTCTTTTGAAGTTTGATCAATAGAAAGACATAATTTCCACACGAAATGGATAATCTCTACTGTCACCAGTGCGTCCTTTTGTAAGAGCACACTTGAGCTTCCACCTCATCAATGGACAGGCTCTCCTCCGGAAAATTACAAGCTGGAAGCTTCTCTGGCCCCTGATCCGGCAACGCATCACACGGCTGAGGTACCACGCCGCTGGAAATTCCGGCGATGTCAGTGCAATTCCACTGGAGTTTCTTTGGCTTCTGCACCAAACCGATCGTCACATTCGATATACAAATCCCGGTGAACGGGTCCCCTGAGATCCCCTCCAACCGAGCTGCCATCGTGACATTCTCAGCGACCATGTCACGGTAGTTTATGTTCTGAATTAGTGGAAGCGCATTAGGATCGTAGTTGTTGTCGGGGTGTGAGCCATAGTTTCCCGTCATCCAAAATACCCACTTCATGGTTCTCATGGTCATTCCTTTCACATATATGTCCTTCACATACCCACCTCTTCCAACGGCGGTCTTGATTCTCACTCCAGACTCCGAATTGATCGCCAGGATATCTTCCGCCCTAACATCTTCGATCCCTCCTGACATTTCGCTTCCCAACGCGATCACTGCGCTGGTCGGGGAAATGCATGTGAGCCGTCTGATCACAAGCTGCTTCGTTGGCATCCCGTATGCGATGCCATACTCGTCCCAACCGCTCTTGACGGCGACGCAATCATCACCGGACACTATGTAACAATCTTCTATCTTGGTGTTTGTGCAGGAGTCTGCATTATATGCGAACAGTTCGGTGCAACTGAAATGATGACCGTAAATGCAAATGACTTCTTCCCAATTTTTAAATGCTTACCTGGGTTGATCCCATCGGTGTTCGGCGAATTTGTTGGGGCAAGGATCGTGATGCCTTGAACAATCACATTGCTGCGCATCGCATTGCAAGTAACAGATTAGCATAATCACGAGTCTTGGTTTCGCAAATACCAAAAGGACTGATGGTTTGCAAGAGAGAACCTGCTATAAACAGGGTGAACATTCCATGATGGGGAGTTGAGCAAAGTAAGATTGGAGATCTGAACTTTATCGGAGTGCATGATCTCGATGAGGTAAGGCCTCGTATAATTGAGCTGTCCACGGCGAAACTTCTGCCACCAGAGCTGGCCCTGACCATCGATCGTGCCGTTATCCCCTAACCAAAGCGAAACAGATCAGAGACACTATTGTGTGTCATGTTATGTATGATCATCCGACAAGAGGTTTATGTTCTATTTCGTACCCGTTATTACGACGTCGGTGAGATTGGTTCCGAATACCAGACTGCTATACCTTCCGCCTTCCGTGTCCCTTCCTCGCCCGTAGGACGGTAGTGGATCTATCAGCGGCCAATCGCTCTCATCCTACATGACCATTAGACGTCCAGTCAGCTACAGAGCAATACAACCACAAGACCAATCTCAGTCAAATTATTGATGGTTTTTCACTTTCTTAAGAGTTCATTCTAGACATTACTGTTCTCAGTCAAAACCTGACGGGCTATTCAGTAGAAGTGCTTCCCTTAATAAAGACATCAAACCCTATTCGTGCTCTCTCCAATCTCGCTGGGTGTGTGAAGACGGAGCGATTTGCGCTCGACCCACATGAAAGCATCAATATCCAATAGTCTTCAGATTCCTTAACCTTGATTTGGACTGCGAAAATCATGGCAACAAAAAGGGAATAGGCACAATTGTGTGTGTGGCCGAGAAGACTTGGCAGATTGCGCTCGACCCACACGACAGAATCAAAATTCAATAGTCTTTGGATTCCTTAACCCTGATTTGGACTGTGAGCTAATAAGCAGTTGGGCAAAGAGCGAAAGAAGCCAAAACAAATTTCGCCATGGCAAAGAAAGGGACAGGAGCGTTTGTGTGTGGCTGAGAATCAAAAACCAACCCGTGAACTGATTTTCAATATTTAATTGCAATAGGACTCTGGTTTGTGGAGGTTCGGTAGCATCCAATTGATGCACTTTTTTGAGTCTCCGAAGAAGAAAGTAAAGTGCTTATTGGGGTCTCACCTATATTTCATTCCTACATGACTTGGATGGTCCATATCCACCAAAATGCCTTTCCAACTTCTTGCACGCCTAATCTCTACCTGCATTTTCAGCCTTTTCTGGGTTCATATACTGTTTCATTCTTTTCCACTGTGATAATTAGAACTTAATATCGGAAAGTGAAAAGTAGGATCTATTCAATTTTTTTTTGTTCAATGTTTGCCGGCAATCGCTGAAGTTAAAGTAACAAAAAATGGTTAAGTTTGGATAGGTTGTAAGCGAATTCATCAATGTTCAACTTTGCCGTCATATGACCCGAGTAATGAGATGACCCATGTAGCATCTTAGTTATACTTTATCTAAGAACCACAGAACACACGGCTCTCTTTGCGATACTGATATTGACAATATTGATCATAGCGAAAACTCGGATCTGTTCGGGATTATAACATATAAATCCCTTATCCTAATACTGCATTAGCCCTCTTCCTTTCTGAAAATGGAAAGAACATGAAATTTCCAGTCAATTTTCGTTCAAGAATGATCGTCGGTGAGAGAGTTTTCTGACCTGAGAAGCAAGAAGAACAGCATCTCTTTGGAGATAGAGAGTGAAATGGCTGGTGAGGTTGAAGCTCCCAGTCAACCACCTTCCTGGGGGGACAAAGAGCTGAGACCCACCTTGGGCCTCGTACTGGCTCAGGTAATTGATGGCAGCCTGAAAAGCCATGGTGTTCAGCGTGATCCCATCTCCAACTCCTCCGAAATCTGTCAACGAGGCACTGTGTGCCCTGCAACTTATGGCGCTGTAGCGGATCATGTCCAAGTGTCTTTTTCTTCTGCTCTCGGCTCCAACGGTGAACATCATCACCGCAAGAGCCACAAGCACCAGCGCTCTCTTCAGACCCTGAAACGTGTGACAGATCATGATTGATGGGTTCTGAGCCAAGAAACCAGATTGTTACAGATCTCTCTGTTTCATGCCTGCCGGAATTTATGTTGAAGGAGATTGAAAATAAGGGAAACGGAACTTGATACGAGATGGTTTACCTCAAGCCTTGCGCAGGGGTTCGGCAAGAACTCCATTTTCATGGAGGAGGACAGGTCCAAGTTTGATTCTGGTTTGTGCTTGGAATATTTTCATGTGAACTCGTGAACACGACATTTATATAGGAGCAGCAGATGAAGATGACAGTGGCATTTTCAGAAAACTGCTTCTTGCTCTACGTCATATTTAGAAATGTCCCTTTTGGTTCGAGAGAAACTATATTATTTTTTCTGCTGCAAATTGTTTAATGATTTCTTTATTTTATTCAGGGACTCCTTTCTTTTTGGGTCGGCATAAACTCCTTTCCAAGTGCAGAGGATAAACAGGGGAGTTGGTAAAGATTCGCTAGCTCCATCTCTTAAGCTTTCTCAAAAAAGCGAAAATATGGAAGGAAACAGGGGGGCAGGCCCCGGTTGAGCGGAGTGACTTCAAGAGGGGAGAAGTATCATAAAAGCTATAAATCTATTACAATTGAGCCAATTTAGCTTTTAAGCCTTTTAATTTTGTGTCAATTCAGTCTTTCCACGCTAATTTTGTTCGGATATTGTTAACATGTACGCCGAACGGTGTGCTTACGTTGACAATTTTTAATAATATTTTAATAATTTTTATTTTTTAATTATTTTTTTCTCATTTTTTTTTGTTTTTTTCTTTCTTTTGTTTTTTCATTTCTTCTACCTTTTGCCAATGACTGCCATGGCTAGTGGCTGCCACCAGCCATGGCCAAGCATGCTGGCCTTGCCTGGGCGAGGGTCGACCTCGCCAGATATGACCTCGACGAGGCCAACCCTTGCGAGGCCTCGCTAGGGCTCGCCTTAGCCTAGCCGGGTCTCGCTTGTGCGAGCCATGGCGACCCTCGCCTAGGCGAGGCCAGCCCGCCCGACCATGGCCGGTGGTCCGCCATTGTCTGTGGCTTGTGTCTGGTCACCGGCAAAAGGAAGAAGAAAGGAAAAAAGAATAAATAAATAAATAATATTAAAATTTGTCCACTTCATCAATAACGGTGCCACGTAGGTTGGCCGGCATCCACGTCAGCAATATCCGACCAAAATTAGCCGGAAGGGCCGAATTAACACTAGGTCAAAAGGTTTATGATTAAATTGATACAATTAAAAGGTTTATGACTAAATTAGCCCCAGTGCAACATATTTATGATTTTGCCTACACTTTTTCCCCCCGTTAAGAGAAACATCCCCAAATTTGTGAGATATAAATGACACAAAAGCAAAGACAATTCCAGAGGTGCAATCAACCTTCGAGTTTGCGAAATCCGGGTCATGTGCAACCCCTCTCGTGCACATCCAAATAACGAAACTCCTTTCTAGGAAGCCCTTTTCTTTCCTATGATTAAAAAGATCAGACGATCAGTGCGAGGAGCTCACAGACTCGTGGTCCGTGTTTTAATTGCACATTCACGTTCCCCGGTCCATCTCCATGATAGCTATGTCTACCAGCTCAGTTGAACTCAGAGATCTCAGTCGGAATAGTTTTCAAACCACGGTCATGGTAATGAAGAGTGCGCGTCACGTATTTCGTCATGGATTACGCAGGTATGAGCACCTGGAGATGCAAATCGTGGTAATCCTTGTACATGCGTGTAAGCATCTCTATATATCGATGCATGTACATACTTGTCCATATGCCGGCCATCCACGTGACTCGATAATGGGCAATCCAATTCTTCATATCGGTCGAACTAGAATTAAGGGTTTCGAGTTTGGTAACTCTAAAAAAGAGAGAGAAAGTAAACAAGTTGGATGAGGGATGAAAGATGTCCCAATTCACATGAGTGAGTTGAAGCTTGAAGATACGATATCCCAGAGACGAAGATCCAATTCATAGATAGTGCAATGTGCACTAGGGAAGTAATACAATGAGGAAATCAATTACTATATTGCCAATGGAGGATATAATACGAAACCAAGTTTGAGATGACCTCTAGTGACGTCTGATCACCAACATTTGTGTGAATTATGTCTACTTCACTTTTACTCCATATCGCGTGTGGGCTGGGTTGAGATTTGGTTGTCGAGATTAAACAATCTATCGACTATCTTGTCATTCAATACGATCAAGATTACTGATCTATCTATGTCGATAAGTCGAGCCACACATAATGGAGGATGCCTCTCCATTGAATATCTCAGAGTTTAGTTTTGGGAAAATACTATCTATACTAAGAAATTCTATTAAAACCATCTTAAGAATAGATGTGACGAGTTTCAGTTGGATATCTACTTGTCGCTGACCAAGGGCCAATGACTCCCGCTGGCTCCTAGGTGAGGTCGCGAAGCCCTTGTGGGCCACAGCGAGGGCATCAGGCTGCGCAGCCCTTGCCCGCCCTCACTGTGGCCGGCGGATCTGGCGAGGGCGTCACGGCGCTTACCCACGATCGGGGACCTCGTCCAATAGCCAGTGGAGGTCGCTGGGCCTTAACCAGTGGTCGGCGGCCTCGCCAATCCTTTGAACCAAAAAAGAAACCAAAAAAAAAAAATAAAGGAAAAAGAAAAATTAAAAAATTCGAAATTAAAAATTGTTTTAAGATTTAAGCTCTCCCATTTCTTGAGTTCATTTTTGGCATAAGACCACTACTTTATGTATTCGACAGGCAATTTGATTAATGAAAATTTTGCATCAAGCATTAGTTGAATTTTCATACCCCAAAAAGTTTCGTGAAGGTGAGGTTATGTTAGGGGTAAAGATGGACTCTGGGCGGAGCTTTCGCATTTACATCGTACTTCACCGTTAAAAGTTTATGACTAAATTGACACAATTAAAATGTTTAAGACTGAATTGGCAAATTATCAGAATGTTTAGAACTAAATTGATATAATTAAAAGGTTTAGGACTAAATTAATAAAGGTGCAATAGATTTAATACTTTTGGGACAATTTTTCCCAATTTTTTTTCTCACTGAAAAGGGGGCACAAGCACAATCCTACACAAGTTGGATGCTTTTGGGGTCCTCCAATTGGCTGATTAGGACATGGGAAGGCGATGGTGGGTGGGGTCTGGTCTATCACGGCAGATTGTCGACACATGGATGTCATTTGCCTTCCCGTGAACCAGTTTTTTGTATTTTTGGGTGGCTCATTTGGCCCCATTTTGATGGACAATTCTTCACGGGAATGGAAACTTTCTTGCTAATTCTGATGCGAGCACGCGACTTTGCTTTATCATCGAGTCATCCAAGGGATCGAACATGTTTGGGTAAAGCTACCTCATTCCACTACCCAAGAAAACCTATAAATGTATGTGCCTTTCGTGTTACTTTAACGAGTATGGTCCTTCGAAGTATGGGCTTCAAGAAAAGAGAGAGCACTAGCTACAAGCAATATATATGGATGTTATTAAGGCGAAACTGCTGCTTCATAGGACATGATGCGGAATTTCGTGTTGTTAGAATAACACATTTATCAACTCTTTTTGTTGGACAAAGCACTATTTCAAAAGATGATTTAACTAACATGGAGATGTGAAGTGGTCATATAATCTAAAATATGTGCAAATGGGTCGAGCATTATCAGACCAAAAAGCGTTTGGGCTTTCTTAGAGAAAGATGTCAATCGACTTGTCCCCATTCATTGTATTTGGTAATACACTATTCCTCTCTTTCAACACATGCTTAGCTACGATACAGTCCTTTAGAGATTATGGTCGAAGTATGATGTTGTAATATTTTATGAACACAGGCTTGTCCTGTGTATTAATGCCTCTGGATGAGTATCTTAGGCCTAACTTGTTCAACTTTGGCGGCTTTAGAGAGTCGTAATATGCGGGATGAGCCTAAGCACTAACGGTGTCGAAAATCAAGCTTTGCCGACTAACTCTAAGGATTGTTCAAGCAATACGTAAAGTCTTTTTGGTTCAAGTACAAAATGGAATACTTATATTTGCAGATTCTCTTGTGGACTAACTCTAACGAATGTGCACATGGACTTTTTTGTTTCTAATTATACGTTCTAATCGATGAACCTGATGTCAAACGATATGGGCGGGATGGAGATGCAACATCCTGTGATCACTAATGTAGTGCTCAAAGTCCGCTGGACGCTCCATGTTAGCCAAAAAAAGAAACAGACTGTAGATTAGACATTAACTTCTTGCGTTTTTCTACTTTCTGGTTTTCATGCTTTCTTTCTTATTGGGGTCTAAATGACTTGCACACTCCAAAGCCCATAGCTTCTTCTGGGATTTCACTGGGCCTAAGATGCTGTCGTTCTAGAGGTGAAATAGAATTAGAGTATATAAGGTACTACATCAAAGTCTGAAAAGTACAAGTAGGATTTTGAACTTTCAACTATAGTTACTGATTTTGTCTGATTTAGTGCTTTCATTGCATATGATGGTGTCATTTTCACTCGTCATTTCTAGAAAAATAGTAGATAGCAGCTCATATGGGAAGAAGGAATTGGCTTAATGGATCAAATTATGATCAAGACTCGTGAAATCTTGGAATATGTTAGGAGGATGAACTACCATTTAACTATCATGTGCAATGTAGCGTGTTATATTCAACTTTAACACATGTTTTGAAAGTATTAATCTCATCGTTTATATATTTATATATTTTCTATTTGTTTATTTTTCCCTCTTTATATGTAAAATTTAAGAGTTCATCTGGTGTTTCATTTTTGGTTGTATCTTCAGAAAATGTCGAAAACATTTTTAAGTTAAAATTAGCGGAAACATAAACCTAGTGTCGTAAAAAATTAAAACACCTTGTGTTCAATCTAAACATAAACAACAAATGGAAGTACAATGAAGTTTAACATCCTCACTTTATATCTCCACTCCCTTTTCGATCCTCTACTTTCTAAATCAAAATTTTGCACTAGGTTATATTGCTGTTTGACTTCCTATAGCTTTTACCATTACATAATATAGCAATTTTACTAGTTCAATGTAAATTCTCTTCCAAAAACAATCTCTCTTGCGCGTGCCGGTCTCTCCTGCTTAAAGAATCAGTAAGATGAAAGCTCACACTCGTGGGGGAGGAAGATCGAGACATGAAGAACATATCATGCGAAAAAGAGGAAGTCTAGGGAAGCCTACAAGATTTTCCCTTTTGCTAAAACTAGGGTCGTATGTTGGCCAACCCTGTGCACACCCAGGCGAAGTGGGATGTAATCCCTGCTCACGGCCCATGTCGTCATGGGTAAATTCAACTGAGCAAAACGCCTAAAAATTAGTAAGACTAAAGCTCACGGTCATACAAGATGGGGGTTAAGAACACGGAGAGCTCTGGACGGCCTGCTCTTTAGGGTTTTCTTGGTGAAAGGTATTGTGCTCGCACAGTGTCACCCCAACAGATAAATTGTGAATTTTAACAAGAGAGAATGCCAGGAAGTAGTGCGCATCATACACTCATATGTATGTACTCACACAAGCGCGCATTACATCAACTACCAGAATTAGTATGTATTTTAAGAGAGAGAGAGAGAGAGAGATGCATGTTTGAGATAAAAAGATGGCCATCAACTTCTAGTATACTGGTGTGTATTGATACCCACAGAAAAAAAGTGAATCACCTGCCTAAAGGTACTCTACAATGTGGTTTTCATCTTTTCTTTCATTCATATCTCCAATTTGGTAAAGAAGGAAGCTTGGAGTCCTTTAGGGTAGAGAAATCACCAGATTGTAAAGACAATTAACCATCAGATGGACATAAGCAGTGAGAAATGAGATGAACTGAAAAATCTTAAATGGGGCCAAAGAAACGTAATAAATGTACATATAGAGATGACTATGTAGAAGAGAGAAGGAGGGCTTGCAGAGGGAAGTTCCATGCAACACTTGGTACTCATTATGGTTCTCATTTTTCATGAGAAGCAAAAAAATGGTGATGATCCAGCTGAAGTTTCTATTAACTTGAGAATGAATTTGGACATACTTGTCCATTTTTTTCTTGAAGATACCCACAAAAGGTACAAACTTAACAAGAAAAAGGAAAGTTAATCTGGGTTGTGATTATTTCTGTCTGCCAACAACAGAGTTATATATATCAAATGAAGCATGAAAACAAGAACTATCAGCACCAATGCACGAATCTCCAAAATCTAGAGTGCAATATTTTATGCATGACCATGAAGTAGTGCTAAAAAAATTCATCAGCTAGCGTACAATTTTATCACCTCGACACAAATCCGATATTTTTTTTTTTGTGCGTCAGTACTTAGAGATGAAGGAGTGATGGAGCCAAATCTTGAGATAAAATCCATCTTTAAAGACAGGACAATGATCTAAAGAAGAAGATTATTCAAATGAGGTATCTGTACCTTTTTAAAATAAAAACTGAAAGGTGGGGCATCCGGACTCAGTTTAATTAAAGATGAGTGGTCTTAAAGAGAATACCAATTCGAATAAGAAACGGCAAGTGTCGCTTTTAAATTTCCAAATTGAGCACTTGGAAACAAAAACATACCAGAAAGGGAAACAACTGTTTGTATATCAAGATTCAGGCACAATCATGCGATCTTACACCCACCATAGATTGAACTGGTTGAGCTTCCCAGGACAAAGCCAAATCATAGTAAAAACAAGCTGAAGCACCACATAATAGTCCACTCCTTACTCTCGAATCCAACCCTTAAAGTTGCTAGATCCCCTTATTGGATAGTGTGGTTTATTACAGAAATCAAAATAGACACCCACTATATGTTTCGGTTAAGGGAGTGAGCATCACTCACTTATCTCCAAATAAGTACCCAAGAGATGAATCTCCTCCAGGAGCTGATTTGACCTGTGTCCATGGACGCTCCTGCAAATAATTTATCGAGAGTGAGAAGAAGATATATGTGAACTAGGGGCAGCACACAGTTGGATGGGAGCAAATCGCTTACCGTGATGAAGTTCCCTGAGTTTTGGCCTTGAGCTCTGTGGTAGTTGTTGGAAATGTTTGGCTTTCGCTCATCAGAAGGAGGGTGGCTGTCTTGATTCTTCTCTGTGATTGTATCAGCGCCACATGGTGGTGTGTTCGTCGTGATCGTGTCAATTCCATACGGCGGTGGGTTTGCAGTCCGTGGAGTTGGAGGTGGAGGTGTTTGCTCGCCGGATCCAAAAAGGTAGCCTAAGGAACTTTGCCCTCCGCCATAGCTACTTCCTCTACTCATGGTCGCTCTTACAGATCTGTTTAGCAAGTTTCATAGAAACTAAATAGGAGGGGTGAAAACCCTAATATATATAGACGTATTTAGAGTGGGCTTTAAAATTTTCTTTTTGTTATATATATGTAAATATGTGTGTGCCCTTTTGGTAGGGAAAGTGCAAGCTTTCCGCTCTCATCTCTAATCCATTAGAGCAACAAAATAACATATTATCTACTGATTTACATCAGTAGAAGAGACCAACTAGGTAAAACCTGTTAGGGCAAAAGTGCATATTTGTTGAGAGAAAGGGAGAAATTCTCTTACTGCTGATTTCCTTAGCAAGCTATATGTGTGCCGATCATCTATACGATCAGAGACCGCATCGGATATGTACAGACAAATATTTTCTCTTCCCGGGTATATATGGAATGAGAAGAAACCCCAATTTGATTGCAGCAAAGAGTTTTCCCTTTTTTCGCTTGTGTTTTAAATGCAGCAAAATATGGTTTGCCTTCTATATCATGATTATTTTGTTAACTACACCATGTTTCGTATGTGTTAATCGTAGCAAGTTTTCCGGAATTGATGTAAGATCAAACTTGTTATTGCTCCACATATGCTCCAATCTATGTTTCTAACAAAAGACAATGAGCTATGGCCCAAAAAAAAAAAATGCAAAAGACAGTGAGTTCAATTAGTACTATCAAGGCAAAATTCTTCATTGTTGGTGAAATCACAAATGAGGGAGGTAACGTATATATCATTGCTTGAGTAGGCAACTGCCAACTAGTCCACACCATAATTTAGAACAGTTATTCCTCACTCCTATTAGTTGGAGCCTGGAAATTATCCTTATTATATATGCAAGCTTCACTGGCTATCCTCTCTTCAACTTTTGATAAATTTCGATTTAGTTTGTAGAACTTAAGTTGAATTCTCTGTAAGCATAGCAGGAGGGTTCGATTTAACATGAAAGACTGGGAGACTACAGAGGTACATGTACACCCATATATTAGGTCAAGCTGAAATATTGGCATTTTTTCAGAATTGACTTGGAAACTGTTGGTTTACCAAGTAGAAATGAGTTGGTTAAGTGTCCTAATCAAGTGGGCTCAATGATCACCCATTTAGAGCAATATTAACCATAAAGTATCATTAGCTAGGTGGTTCTTGACAACATGTCGTGACAAACTAGCCAGCAATGTCAATCAAAGCTTCCTCGGACAATCGCATCAAGCTCGAGATGCCAGTTTCAACCATATGGTAATAAGATAGGACCCATAAGTAGTTGAGTGGCATATCATGGTCAGAATCTAATGAAGCCACATTGAACTATACATGAGAGCTGGTAATTAATATCAACAATGCTTTGGTGGATTGGGATGAACCACATTAATTTGAGAGTTCAAAAGGGGGTTTCAATTAATTGGTGCTTAATCAAGATAATGGGTACCTTTAGGTGAGAGATTTATTGTCAGTGGGCCAATGAGTGGCATGTAATCTTAAGAGAGAAATAAATGGTGGTAGTTCAATTCAGATATAGATTTAGTCCAGTGGGAAGGAATCTGGTAGGGCAAAATGACTTCATGAGAGTGGTCATTATGGGCACGGTTTTCTGTCGCTTACATGCCAAACAGGATATTCATGATCCTTGATTATGCTCTTGAACAGTTTGTGGCATTTCATCAAAAGTGGTGTTTATTGGAAAGTTAATGCTCTTGAAAAGGGGTTATGATATTAAACTAAATTAGGTAGAGGCATCATATCAGCTCAGATAATCGAAAGTAATTCCATATATGGTCAATTAGCCATGAAACCATGGAGGTCTAGTCAGGGGTTTTAGTGCCCAGACATGCTTGAAGCACTGTGGTTGAGTGATGGGGCAGGAGATATAATTCCTGTGGCCCTCAGATGTCGTCTTGGACGTCAAACTACTGTCTCTTTGATGGTACCTGAAAACGAAAAGAAGTGGTATAGCCTCAACCTTAGGTAACCTATCTGGATTAGACCGTGTTTTGTTTCCATTCATGAAGTGACAATTAGGGATCTTCTGAAAATGGTGAAAAACTTTACACATCCTTTGTTTTAATATATGAAAGTGGGGACTGTTCAAACAAGAAATAGTCTTAACAAGTTATGAAGTTTCATTAAGCCAACTCCTGAATTTTTTCCAGCGAGGCATAAACTATGTTTTGTCACCCATGAAAAGCAAATGAGAGCAGAGTACTATATATGCTCAGCATGATTGCATGGATCAATCATTTGATTGACCATTCTTGAGGAAATCACTAGGAACACCGGTCAGCATGTGCTCAACTATTTATGTTTTGATTGCCACTCGGAGCCATCACTTTAGGGTGAAGTTGTCACAGACTGTTTTCTTACAAATCTCTTAATCTCGTCATGAATAACCTGTCTTTGATTTGACTGAGGAGGTGACTATTAGACGCATAAAAGATGGCTCGCGATACTGCTGGCCATTACACTCAAAGATCCTCTATGATTACATCCACTTGATACCATGGTTACGAAGGTAACAATAGTGGTGCGCGAGAGGCTGACAAATCAAGAGTTTAAGCAGACCCATGAAGACAAATGAAGGATGATGGCCGTTGAATTTCTATGGGGTTTTTTTTTGTCGAATGGCGGTTGAATCTCAAAGGGTGTATAAATAAAGACACCCAGAAAATGTAGGCAACAAATTCTAGAATTTCTTTTGATTCTTCAATAGAAAGTTGACTTTGAAGGGTGTATTAATGCAGAAGAGAGAGATCTTTTTTCTAAATTCAAATGTGTTAAGACAGGCACTCGAACTTATGGCCAATAACAAACTGAAGAGTCGTCCTTTAATGAAAGACGATGGCCATTCGATTTTAAATGAAAGTAATTAAGGTCGCAAATTGACCACTCTTCAAAACTATAAATTTCTTGAAATCATAGAGGTACATTATGTCCGAAGTACCTTATATTAACTTTTAAAAAAAAGGAACTTCTTATTTTCATTTATTGTCTTTTTGCATCAAATTTAAATCGTTCAATGTGCTCTTCGTTATAAAATCCAAGATGACACTTGTCCCGGCACAATCTGGACTTCCAAATGAACAAAGCACACATAATCACCTCCATGATTCACCTGTTTCAAATGCACCTACCATTCACTGACTGCCATGTAGAAATTTAATAACAGACAGCAAAGCATAATCATAGGAAGATCAATCCACAGAATCTGTTAACGTGGCAATTCGTTAGCGGCCAATGACCTTAGTTGGGGACCTCATGAACAAGGATGAGACAATTGAAAAGAAGGTAGAGCTAATTGACATGGATATCTAGTGAAAACAGGTAGAAAAGGAAGTGAATAAAGAGAAAGTTGAGATGACGGGGGTGGGGATCAAGCAAAAGGAGGGTATGACTGGCAAGCAACACATGAGACCTACATGTAGTCCTCACATGCTACTTCCTTTGGTGAGCGCATTATTCCAAATTCAAGAGCATAATCCATAAGGGTGCATCAAATCAATGTCAAGATGGAGCAAAAGAAAGAAAAAGAAGAGAAACTGCCAAGCTTCAATTGGCAATAATGAGGAAGAAGAATGTTGAAGCTCAAATTGGGAGTACCGATTGTACTGCTTTTGATATTAGAGATAGAAACTGTGCCGCTAAGTCTGGAGTAGCTAGTAATCCTTCACCCGCCCCCTATCAAACTAGTACTAGCGCTACTTCATCAGGTTTATCTTGCAAAAACATTATCTCGGATAACCGTGCTCAGATTGCTAAATTAGAATTTCACCCGCCCACTAGGCTCTGTTCGTTTGGCGGAAAATATTCTTCCGGAAAATAATTTCCGGGTTTTCCGGTGTTCGGGGCGGAAAACGTTTTCGTGGAAAATATTTTCCTTCCCCCTTCACAAAATAGCCTAAGTCATGGAAAATGACTTCCGCTTCTTCAAAGCGGAAATCATTTTCCTGAGCTTCTTCTTCTTCTTCTTCACTAAGGTTGCCGGCCACCATCGCCTCCGGTCGTGGCCGCCGCCGCCGCCGCCTCCGCGTCGCCGGCCTCCACAGCCGGCCGCCGCCGCCGGCCGCGCCGCCGGCCGCCGCCGCCCGCTGCCGCCCGCCGCCCGCTGCTGCCCGGCCGCCGCCGCCGCTGCCCCTAGGCCGCCGTAGTCGCTGCCGCTGCTGTCGCCGCCGCTGCCGCCGCCACGCCGCCGCCACCACCGCCGGCGAAAATATTTTCTCCGAAACTTTTTCATATTGGTCGCCGAACACCGGAAAATTATGTTCCGGGAAAACATTTTCCAGGAAAATGACTTCCGGGAAAATATTTTCCAAAAGGAGAATATTTTCCGCCAAACGAACGGAGCCTAAGAAGAAAGATAAGTTTATTATTGTTCCTCCTCCTGAGGCTTTAGTCAAGGGTAGAACACATTTCGAAAACTGCCTTGTTGGATATTTCCTTGCTGCCAATGCATCTTTCTCCTCAGTGAGAGGTGTCGAGGAAAAATTATGGGGTAAGGAGAACCTATTGGATGTCACCGCCACGGTGGATGGTTTCTTCTTCTTCCATTTCTCAAATGTTGCAAAAATGGTGGAAGTTATGGAAGTAGGAGTGTGAGATATTGCAGGCCAACCACTGTTTTTAAAGAAATGGCATTCCCTTATTCGATTTGAAAGAGCAAAGTTCACCTCTATGCCTGTTTGGATCCAGCTATATAATGTTCCTCATATTCTGTGCACCAAAAAAGGATTAAGTTACGTGAGTAGTTCTTGTCCTTATGGACATTGATAGCAAATTTCCGGAGAGATTTGACATTGACATGCGAAATGGCCAAATTTTTTAGGCCACGGTGGATTACAGTTGATTGCCTCAATAGTGCAAGAACTGCAATTGTTTTGGCCACAAAGATTGTAATGCTACAAGCAAACAAATTTGGGTTACTATGGATGCGTTTGGTAACTATTATGTTCCCGAAAACAATTTCTGCTCATAAATGATTCTTTTTTATTCTGTTCCCGAAAATAATTTCTAAGCATTTAAAGGCGTTTGGTAACAGCGCAAAATTTCCATTCTTAGAATAAAAAAAGAACAAA